ATGTCTACTATGTGCCCAATATGAAAAGTAACATTTTAAGTTTAGGGCAACTGGTAGAGAAAGGTTATGATATTCATATGAATAATTATAACCTTTCTATAAAAGATGATAAGAATAACTTCATTGCTAAAGTGCCGATGTCAAAGAATAGAATGTTCTTGATCAACATACAAAATGATGTTGCAAAGTGCCTGAAAGCTTGCTACAAAGATGCATCATGGCTTTGGCATCTTCGATTTGGGCATCTCAATTTTGGAGGTCTAGAGCTATTATCTAAGAAGGAGATGGTGAAAGGACTACCTCACATCAACCATCCTGACCAACTCTGTGAAGGGTGTCTAGTCGGGAAACAATTCAGGAAAAGCTTTCCAAAGGAGTCAGAGACAAGAGCTAAGAAGCCACTTGAGCTCATCCATACCGATGTGTGTGGACCGATCAAGCCAAGTTCTCTCGGTAACAATAACTATTTTCTTCTCTTCATTGATGATTTTTCAAGAAAAACCTGGGTATATTTCTTGAAACAGAAGTCAGAAGTTTTTGAAGTATTCAAGAAGTTCAAAGCAGCAGTGGAGAGAGAAAGCGGTAGAAAGATCAAAGCCATGAGATCCGATCGAGGTGGAGAATTTACTTCCAGGGAGTTTCAAGAGTTCTGTGAAGCAAATGGAATTCGTCGACCAATGACAGTTCCTAGATCCCCCCAGCAAAATGGTGTGGCAGAAAGAAAGAATAGAACAATCCTCGACATGGCACGAAGCATGCTCAAAAGCAAGAAACTGCCCAAAGAATTTTGGGCGGAAGCAGTATCGTGTGCAGTCTACTTGTCAAATCGATCTCCAACAAGAAGTGTATGGGGAAAGACACCGCAAGAGGCATGGAGTGGAAGAAAGCCTGGCATTTCCCACTTGAGAACCTTTGGAAGTATAGCCCATGTTCACGTACCAGACGAGAGAAGAACGAAGCTTGATGATAAAAGCGAGAGTTTTATCTTCATCGGCTATGATGCTAATTCGAAGGGCTACAAGTTGTACAATCCAGACAATAAGAAGTTTGTGATTAGTCGAGATGTGGTCTTCAACGAAGAAGGAGAATGGGATTTTAACTCCCATACAGATGACTTCAATTTCTTTCCTCAGTTTGAAGAAGATGAGCAGACAATGAGGGAGCAACTAGATGAATCTCAACAAGAGCTTGCAACTCCACCCACTTCACCAACATCAACCACTCAAGGAGACTCATCACCTTTATCATCGTCAAGTGGGAGTCAAAGTGAAAGAGTTGTGCAACGCACAAGAAGCCTTAGAGATCTCTATGAGGTAACTGAACGACAAGATAATCTTACATTATTTTGTCTGTTTGCCGATTGTGAACCAGTGAGCTTTCAAGAAGCGGTACAAGAAAAGAAATGGAGAGATGCGATGGACGAAGAAATCAAGGCCATCGAGAAGAATGACACATGGGAACTTACCTCACTTCCCAAGGGACATAAGGCGATAGGTGTCAAATGGGTGTACAAAACAAAGCAAAACGCCAAAGGAGAGATTGAAAGGCACAAGGCGAGGCTAGTTGCTAAAGGCTATAGTCAAAAGGCTGGAATTGACTATGATGAGGTATTTGCTCCTGTTGCTCGATTGGAGACTATCAGACTAATCATTTCTTTGGCAGCTCAAAACAAGTGGAAGATACAACAGATGGATGTAAAGTCCGCCTTCCTAAATGGAGTTCTTGAAGAGGAACTTTACATTCAGCAACCATCAGGCTATGAAGTCAAAGGGCATGAAGACAAGGTGTTGAAGTTGAAGAAGGCTCTTTACGGGCTAAAACAAGCACCAAGGGCATGGAATAGCCGAATCGACAAGTACTTCCAAGAGAATGGCTTCAACAAATGTCCCTACGAGCATGCTCTATATATCAAGATCAAAGATGAAGATATTTTGATCGTGTGCCTCTACGTGGATGATTTGATCTTCACTGGAAGCAACCCAAGCATGTTTAATGAATTCAAGGATGTGATGATGAAAGAATTCGAGATGACAGACATGGGGCTCATGGCGTACTACCTTGGCATTGAAGTTAAGCAACAAAATGATGGAATTTTCATTTCACAGGAAAGCTATGCAAAGGAGATACTGAAGAAGTTCAAGATGGAGAACTGTAAGCCAATAAGCACACCGGCAGAATACGGGATCAAGATGACCAAACATGAAGAAGGCGAAAGTGTAGATCCAACATTCTTTAAAAGTTTGGTAGGAAGTCTACGCTATCTAACTTGCACGAGACCCGATATTCTTCACGCAGTTGGATTGGTTAGTCGCTACATGGAATCCCCAACAACCACCCATTTTAAAGCCGCAAAGAGAATTCTTCGCTATCTGAAAGGTACAATTGACTTTGGCTTGTTCTATTCAGTTTCTAATGATTACAAGCTTGTTGGATATAGCGACAGTGATTGGGGTGGAGACATAGATAATCGAAGGAGCACTACTGGATTCGTATTTTTCATGGATCAAGTTTATGATCCAACACCCTCCCTTAAATTGATGTAAGCAATGACATCATTAATTAAATGATGTAAGCAATGACATCTTTAATTAAATGATGTAAGTAATGACATCAATTTAGTTTGGGTTTGGGTTTAGGCTCCCATAATGGATCAAGTTTATGATCCAACACCCTCCCTTAAACTTGATCTCGTGACCCCTAGTAGGTTCCTTAATCTTAAGAAGTCTTCGCTGGTCAGTGGCTTGGTAAAAATATCAGCAACTTGATCTTGTGACTTCACATATTCAACTTCCACATCTTTTCTTGCAACACACTCCCTTATATAGTGGTAGCGAATATCAATGTGCTTGCTTCGATCATGGAATACTGGATTCTTCGCTAAGGCAATGGCTGACTTGTTGTCGACACAAACCTTGGTAGGCTCTTCTTGTATCAAACCAATCTCCTTCAATAGATTTCTAAGCCAATCACTGTCGCTATATCCCTTCAATTTAGTTAGGTGAGAGTTAGATATTTGTTGAATTTGTAATGGTTTAAATTAGTTTATTTGTGTGGTGTAGGATTGTTCTTGAGTAGTATAAATACCCCTTCCCATTTTAGTTTTAAGCATCAAGAAAAATTAAGAGCTTCTAAGTGAGTGAAGAAGCAAAGTCTTATAAGAGTGAGTTGTAGTTCTTGTTTTTGAGTGAGAGTACTCTTGTAATATTTGTTTGAGTTTCAATAAAAGTTGTTTGTGTGAGCGTTTTATTTCCAACACGGACTGCCACCATCAAAACGCATCGGAGGAGCCATCTACAACGGAAGCAAGAGACTCAATCACCAAGAACAACTGATACCATATTGAAAAATAAGAAATTGTTTATTGCTGAAACCATATCTTTCTCAAGGCTACAGTACTCAATATACAGTAGAGATATAACAAGCATGACGTCAGCTAGTTATAACAAACCTAACAAATCCTAGGCCACCTCATGCAAGCCATGCATCCATACGCCAACAACTATCCATGCATCCCATATTAAAACCATGAGGGTGTGTTTGATTGGGGAAATGTGAGATTCCCATGGAAATGGAATCCACATTCCCTGTTTGGTTGGTCGGGAATGTCATTCCTGGTAATCTTACATTACCAATAGTGAATTTTTTGGGGTATATTACCGGGAATGTCATTACCTCCCTTTCCTTAGGTATTGTTGGATTACCAGCGTTTTGGACTAAAATGCCCTTAAAATTTTTTTCTTTAAAAAATATTCTTATTCTGTCATTGAATAATAAAAATTCTACGAAGGTTCAATTACAAATTTATCCTTAAACTATTTTAGATTTACAAAAAGAAGTCTATAATTAAAATTTTATATAAAGTTCAGGGGTTAAAATAAAATTTTACCATTTTATTAAACCTTTTTATATTTTCAATTTTGTAAAAAAATTATATAAATTTTATGAATTTACATTTTTTAAAGAAAATATATAAATATTTTTCAACTTGTTAAAAAACAAATATATAATAAGGACAATTTGGTAAAATATACATTCCAATAATCTTTTATTCCTTTAACCAAACACGATAATCTTACATTCCTACTAAACCAACCAAACACAAAACACAACATTCCCAGTAATCTTATTTCCTGGTAATCTTTTATTCCCACTGATAATCTTACATTCCATGAACCAAACGCACCCTGAATGCTGCTAATTTGCTCCATCTCAACTTTGCAACTCCTTGTAGTTTCTAGACTATTTTGGGTTTATAAAGAGGCTCATATAAGTATTTTATCACAAGTTCAAGGATTAAAATGATAATTAAATTCTTTTACTAACGTATCACGTCATCAAACTAATAAAATTTAATATAAAACTTAATAAAATTATAACGTAACTAACTAAAACTTAATTTTTCTAATCTAGTAAGTACAAATGTACAAAATATAAAAGTTAAAGGATTATTATGATAGTTTAGCCTTTTCAATTTTTAGAAAATTGAATACTTTTTTAAAATAAAATAAAAAACTTAAAACGTTTTAAAAAGTAAGTGAAAAAAGAACGTTTCTGAATAGAGTGCATTTTAACTAAAATTAAAATTTTGAAAGTAATTGTTTTTTAGTTTTCTGTAAATAAGGTTGGCTAAAATCAGTATATTTTTTTACTTAATCCAGTGAATTCAAAAAAAAAAACTTATATTGTAATCACCCTGATTAGACTAATAAAAAAAACTTACCAAACATACTCAATTAATCCAAATTTGAATCAAATTTATTGAAATGCTACTGAAAATACAACTGTTTTGCCTATGGCATGTATTCCACGGACACGGTGGTTATTTACCGGCATAGTACTAAAATACGAGCGTAACATAATATAACGACCGTATCGTAATGTTTTTAAATACATTGTAACGCTGCAAACCGCATCCGTAACATAAAAAACAGAGTTATTTTTAGGAAGTAAATCCCGTCCTAACATCCGCATCACCTGCAATCGCGACAGCGCAACAACGATCATGACAGCAGCTGCGGCCGCATTGTAGTACTTTGTTTACAAGCAGGCGGATTCTGTATACCGGAAAGTCTTGGATGCACATTGGAACATCTCGATGTGGAGGGTCCTCCTGGTCCTTTGTACGTGAGGTCGATGTCGATGAGCCTCACGTCTTCGCACGGCACACCGCTGCTGCAAATAATCTTGACTGCTTCTTGAGTTTTAGAAGTGCCTCTAATGTTCTTAAAGCTAATTTTGCTAAGTTTAACACGTGATGGAACCTGGATAAAAAACATACATTACAATCACCTGGTGCTGGAATTTAGAGCTTAAATAATGATTTTCATTTGATCAAACATACCTTTAAATTGCACGACTTCGATGGACAATATTCTTGATCCACTATTATGGGATTTCCGACATCTTCCATTTTAATATCCTCGAAGTGGATCTCCGTCGCGGTGCCAGGATACGAGGCAGGCCAAGTTTTGATCCGAACACCATTCTCAGCATTAGAGATGGTGCATTTCTTTACGTAAACTCCGTGTACCGGTTGTTCATTATGATATTTTCCTAGGCTTCCGACGCTGATGCCGTGACCTGGTCCGCAATTCAATTCCTTGATGTACACGTTTTTGCTGCCATCACCTAATGAGACGCAGTCGTTGCCGGTTTGAATAATGGAGTTAAAGACGTTGACCAGATTCGATCGTCCAATGTGAATTCCATTGGTGTTTATGCTAGTTTCGGGAGCAGAGACGGTGAAACGTTCGAAGGTAATGTTTTGGCCATGTAGAACATTAACGTGGAACTGTTTGCTGTCTTTAGATGTTACATCTTGTATCATTGTGTTTTTAAGAGCATGTAATTTCAAATTCTGTTCATTATGGGGGGGCAAGATTAATTAGCACCGTATCAAGAGATTAAAACTTAATAAATAAATGTACCATGAAATCTGGCTTACAAAGGGAAGTGTGTCGCAATAGTTCATGCCGCAACTGCTTTTCCCCCAAACACCGGATCCTTGTCCGTCGAAAACTCCACCACCGGTTATCGTTAGGCCATCGACAAAGGAGATGGCAACCCAATTTGAATCCTTGAATGCTTTAGGATCAGCTGGAGCCATTATGATGCCATGAACTTTAAGCGTGATATGAGACTTGCAAGGACCATTCAACAATGCTTGGCTTAACATGTACGTCCCTTTCGGAATCACGACGGTGGCCGGTGTGGCCGACGCGCACGCTTGTTTCCAAGCATTCAGCAAAGCCTGTATTGTAAAAGGGCAAAAGAAATTAACCTGCAGTTCAACAGAAAAGCTTTTTCGTACTCGATACATATATTTTGCCTACCACTTTCATGTCGGTTCTTCCGTCCGCCTTTGCGCCGAAGTTGGCAACGACATCAAAAGCAGTAGATTCGAGTACAAGGATTGAAGTAAAGAAGAACAAGAATGGTAGGACTGCAATATTCATTTGTATAGGGTTTTTTTTTTTTGCTGCGTTTTGAATTCTTTTGGGTTGAAACCATTTATATACAGTTCAGTGGAAGCCAATTATTTCTAATTTTGGATCTTCAATGGCAGTTGAGCTCAGCTTCCCCTTCTATTATTAGTTATCTTGTGTACTTTAGTATAGGGTCAAGTAATACATACTAGCGGATCACCACACATTTTAGTCCATTTTACTTCTTTTAAGTGGAAATTGCCCAACATAAAGGGAAATGTTCTGAATTTATTATACTTGTTTGAGGGAAAATGTCGATTTTAAAGCAGTGGAATTGAAAATTTGATGGTAAATTAATATTTTTAGATGAGAAAATGTCCCAAAATTTATTATTTTTAATGTTGATATCGAGATTTGAAATTTGCTAAAGCACGTGATACAATTCTATATGCTAGTTTTGCTATAAAAAAGAAAAAAGAAAAAAGCGGTGTAAGAGATTTGCATTATATGATTCATGTTGAGAATTGATGATGTGTGATCCGTTGATCATTTGTTTTCATATACATTAAAATATATGACAGGCCATGAGAACATGGGCGAAATAATGATTTGAACAAAAAATGAAGTAGCTAAACATGAATATGTTGTTATGGACGAGGTTCAAGGAGAAGAATAGAGATGAGAGGAAACAGAAGAAGAGAGGATTAGGAAAAGGGAAACTTCATTCAATTCATACTTGAAAATTAGCTCATCCCAATTACACGTTTATTTGTTTACATTGTACGGGAGAATCTAATAATATGCCACCTGTAATTCCTACTAACAAACTTTACCGTTCTTGGCAGCTGTTTGGGCTTCTTCATACTGGGTTGGTGCTTCAGCGGCTGAGCTTGAATCATTAATTGGCTCGTACATCTCATGTGTCCCCAATTCTAGTTTCCCCCTTTCCATGCTTTCAATTCCCAATTTCCTGATCTCAACCCCCAACCCTTGTTCATCTTTCTTCAATGTCTCTCTTTTATACGCCCTTCTTGGTCACAAGAGAGAGAGAGAACAACTGAGAGGGTCTTGGTTACAAGAGAGATGCATATCTTACTCTTGCTGGAGTGAGAGGGGCTCTGATCCGGTGGCTCGAAGGAGAGCAGGGTCCTGCATCCACAGGTGATACTTTGGGACATGTGCTTCCATGTATGGTACCATTATCACCTTCTGTCCTTCCATGCTCACACCCATGCCTGCTGCCTTCTCACTTCTGAGTTGCCTCGCCAACGATCTCACTCCCAAACCTCAAGTGTGGGTTAGGTTTGGCTTCTCACTTTCTGGGGTTCGCTGTGGGATTTTGGCAGAAAGGTTCAAGGAACAACTTTCGATAGTAATCCGTATCCATCAGATTAACCTTATTTGAAATTTATTAAATTTAAGAACTCAATTAATATTTTATTTGAAATTTATTAAATATTTAATGTAAATTTTAGAGATTATTTTAAAAATTAATCATTTATAAAATTTAGAGATTAGATTTAAAATTAAATTGTTTTTAGAGTAAAGTACATAAATGGTCCCTCAACTGTAAGGCATTGCTTTGTTGAATCTCCAAATATTAAAAGTTACAAAATGATCCTTTAATTATAGGTCGTTATTTTGTTGAGTCTCTAACTATTAAAAATTTGGCCACTCGAATCATATGTTTTAAAATCATCTTTTTTTAAATAAAATTGACAGTAATCTAGGTTGGACGTTAACTTACTAACTAAGATATGATAAAATATGATCTCAAAATCTCAAATGAATATCTTATCTTAGTCAGCATGACAACATGTTAATATTTAACTTAGACTATCATCAATTTTTTAATATAAAATGATGAATTCGAAATATATGAATAGTCGAGAGACTATTTTGTAATTTTTAATAATAAATAAACTCAACAATACAACATCTTATAATTAAAGAACTTAACAAAATGACATCTTATAATCAAGAGATCATTTGTGTATTTTATTCTATTTTTATTAACATGTCATAGTAACAAATTAAAACGAAATAATCATAATAAAACAAACCGAAAATAAGAAAAAGCATAAATATAATTTACAGGGGAAAACAACCAATAAAAGTGTCTCAAGACAAAAAGAAACCAGAGACTCGAGTGTTATTGCTTCTACCGTATATTTCCCCAACTATTTTTATATTTTTGTTGGGATTAGACTTCAACAATCTGAATCGCTGCTACTTCCCCGACTCCAATTCCGATCGCCGGCGTCATCAACGGCTCTGATCGCCTCTTATAACCGTGCTCTTTCCACGTGATCTTCAGCTAGGGTTTCTTCATGGTCTCTTCCACTGTTGCATAGGTGACTTTTCCCTTCTTTTATCGTCTTCACCTATTGTATTTGTTCTTCACTGAATTGAATTTATCGTTAGCTGGCTCTTACTTTGTTCCTACTCTTCCAGAAACAACGTATAAAACGAGCTACAGAATTTTCAGAAGTATAGTCATTGAATTAACTGATCGATGTTTTTAAAAAAAAAATGGTTTTCAAGTATGTTTTTTCCAGGTGAAGAAATAAATGAACTTTCGGATTATTATTGTATTAAATAAACCTCCTAAGTTCCATCCTTCTTTTTGTAGTATAATTAGGAATTGTTCGGTTGGCGTTTGGAAGCATTTCACATCATGCTCAACATAACAAAGCTTTTGAAATGCATAAGTTTTCTGCAAATGTTTTGTTCAATTGTGAAATGCATTAGCCAATCAGAAGACGATGCAATATGGTAAATGTGTAAGCAATTGAATAATAATGGCTAATACAGTGGCCGGCTGCTCTTCAGATGATTTGTTTTGTAATTATATGGCATTATTGTTTTTGTTATACAAGACCTTTTTTTAATGATAACTTGGGTTTGCTGAAATTTTAACTGATGAGAGGTTCTTTGCATCAGATGGTTTCTTCAGGGGAGTGTGGAACGGATAAGTACAGAGCCCAGATGCTGGAAGTCATCAATTGCAGCTGATCTCTGATAGTGAAATTCGGGCCTCACAATCAGCTCAAGGGAAAGGAATACCTAATGCTGGGATCCATGCTTCATTACATGTAAGGAAACATCTCTGACTCCCCCTCCTTCGCCAGGTATTGAAGGGAGCAGTCCTATTGTAAGCGAGAAAGTCTTAGAGGACGGGTATAACTGGCGTAAATACGGGCAGAAACTTGTTAAAGGAAATGAATTTGTTCAAAGTTATTACAGATGTACACATCCGAATTGCCAAGTGAAAAAGCAGCTAGAACATGCACATGATGGGAAAATGGTAGACACTGTTTATTTTGGTCAGCATGATCATCCAAAACCGCTGAACCTTCCCCATGCTGTTGGTTTTGTTGTCTCTGTTGTCGAAGAGAGGCCCGATGATGCATCTCCAACTGTTGTCAAAGGTAATAAATCATCTTAATCAGTAGTGACTGATGTAATCTGATGAAGTAAAAGTTGCTTGATTTTTAACTGATCTCATATTTGAAGACAAGTCACTGGATGCACATATCCAAACACCTCGCTCGATTGAGCCAGGAGATGGCTTGCAGCCTTTGCTTATTGCTGCTGGTGAAGATGTGAAAGGTGCATCTTCAAAATCAAATAAGTTACTAAATGTTGGCAGTAGTGATCATGGCCATAATATCTCAAAACGCAGGTACCTTAGTTTGTTTCTTGTGTCTCTGTATATATCATAGTAACCTTTTTTTAACAGTCATCAAATGCAAACAGGAAGAAAGAAAAAAGTAATGCTGATCCATCTCCAGTGCATAAGCCAACTAGTGAATCAGATATGGTTGTTAAGACTCTAAGTGAGGTTGACATCGTAAATGATGGGTACCGTTGGCGCAAATATGGGCAAAAATTAGTTAAAGGCAATCCCAATCCAAGGTATGAATCACGTTATTTTTGTTTGTGCATGATTCAAACACAAATTTGGCAAATGGAAATGATTACAATGTTATAGTGACTGGAGGTCTCCTCATCTAGAGATGCTCCTTATCTTAGCACTCAGATGCATATTACTTGTCGCATTTTGACTGTACAAAATTTTGCTTCTTGATATATATGATCAAAATGCGGCTCGGCCTTTGGAATTAAGTTGACTCTCTGCTCACTTGTGATGTAGGAGTTATTACAGATGTTCAAATCCTGGATGCCCTGTCAAGAAACATGTAGAGAGGGCATCTCATGATGCAAAATTGGTTATAACTCCTTACGAGGGACAACATGACCATGATTTACCTCCAAATAGGACTGTTACTCACAATGTAACAGGAGTAAATGTCCATCCAGCAGCCCATAATGGCAAATCAGGCACCAAGGCAGGAGAAAGTGAGAACGTTCATTCTAGTCCTGGAGCAGAGAATAAACCGAGTGAGCAATTGAATGGTGAATCATTAACAAAGTCGGAAGCAAGTGCTACTGTTAATGTTGGTATAACTGATGCATCTATATTGGGTCCTGAAGGTGGGTCAAATGAGCAACGGAGTGGGAAGTTGGATTCAAGTGAAGAGACTGAAGTCGTTGAACATACAGTTCATAGTAAATCGAGTTCTCAGAATACATCATAAGCAAATGAGTAGCGAACCTGAAACAAAGTCGTAAAATAGTGCTGATTACATCAACAAGATGGTCCAAACCACCCCATTCTGTGTGTAATTTGATGCCTAGCGCATAACCTGTCCAAAAAGAACTTGGGGTGAGAGTTTAATAATGGCCGAAAGTTGGGGGCTGCAGTTTGGTTGGGTGTATTAATATTGGCAAACCACCTTGTAATCACCATTTTTTTCGTTTTATTATTATTATAAATAAACCAAAACAAAAAAAAATTAAAATGTCCATTCAGTCCATTTTACAAAGCTCAAACATAAAATAAAGGCCCAAAAGCAGTCCACCTGTGGAGAGAAAGGGAGCTAGGTTTCGTCTTTTCACTTAGCGTCGCGCGCCCCTCACCGTCAGATTTGAGAGCGATCTGATGGACTAGATTAAAACATGCTAGGTTTTGGAGAAGGCTACCTAGCCGCTACATTACTAATCGTTGGATCTGTTTAGATCCAACGGCCCAAATATAATGATGATAGGGTTACATCACAAATGAAAACCGTCGCTCACATCATTGTCATTGGATCAGATCTGACCCTACGGCCCCCGATGCAACCTCATTGTTTCCCCATGCAAATCGATGATGTCACCCCCGTCGAATTCTTCGTCAGTCACCGCAGAGAGAAAGACGAAAAGGCCTCGAGGTAAAAGTATTTTCCCGTACTTTTGATGAAGTCACAACCGTCTGCTCAGGGCTTTATCCTCAGCGTTGTTCCCCCCTCTACCAGATCGCAAAGCCAAAAAAGGAAAAACAAACAAAAAAGATTTTTAACATGCAGTCCAAAATAATCAAAAAAGTGGGGTAAGGTTTTCGTTATAAAGAATAAGAAAATGGGAAAAAAAGAAAGGGAGGGAAAATTCTCAGAGAGGTAGATGGGAAAGTATTTTCATAGGAGGATATGTGAATTTAGTGATCTCTTCTCAAAATAGGGAGTATTTCTTATAGTTCCATACGAGTTAATTAATAAACAATAAAATAAATTGGGAGATAATTCTTGATTTGAGCATTCTTTAATTTATGTTAACACGATGATGTATAAGCGATTAGGTATTAATGTTGGACGTTGTGGGAGTGTTTATCATTTCCTATGCGTAATCGATTTCTCATTTCCTATGCGTAATCGATTTCTGCTCCCGCAAAAAATGAATTTCTAGTAACCGTAGATTAATTTACCTTAAAAATATTATTTAAAAATTAAAATATATTTTTTAATATTCGATCTAACTAATCCAAAGATTAATGATTACTTTAATTTGAAATTCAATTTTTAAAAAATAATAAATAAATTTCCATTAAATAAATAAAATCGTTTTCGTGCGTTAAAACACGCCTCGTGTAAAAAATCATTCAACGGGTCAAATAATGCTCTAGATTAAGTGTAGCATTTTAAGTTAAAAGTACATTTGTGATATAAAATAGGTGTCACTGCTAATCTTTATTGACAACATTTTTGCAGTTATTATTGGCCTTTTTGCTTCTGCACAAATCTGTTGTTGTATGGTCATGAATAAAAAGACGGCAAACTTATGATTTACAGGTACATAGTTAAGAAAAGACTTTAATAAGCAGTAACCTTTTAATAAACTCTTGGAAGCTAAGAGAAAGGGAGGATATTCGACCATTGCTCAGTTCCCAGGTTCCTAAAACAACAGTTAGAAGCATAATTTTCACTTACATGCATGCCAGAGGCCTTGGTCAATGGTGCAGAACAGGGTAACTATGTTGAAAGTCCCCTGTTACCATGTATGAGAGTACAATATATTACACGGGGGGAAATCACTTCCATGCACAAGCAGCAACCAAATTCCTATTCATCCAGCCGAGGTATAAATCCCCATCTCTCTCCTCAAGCCTATATTTATCACTGTAGTTCTCAAGCAGTGTTTTTATGGTGGAATTCACCAAGGAACTTAATGGATAAGGAGTGAACCCTGCCATTCTGAACCTTGACTTCCACTTCCCTAGGAGCTCATGTCGTTCCACTCTCTCAGGTCCCTCGCAAGCTATGATGTTAACTGCATCCCTTGCCAGGCAATGCTGCTCAACGTTAATCCTCTCTTTATGTTCCCGTGGGAGAGTCACGTCAATGGATTCAAACATGGCCGTATAATAGTTCAACGTCTCACAGAACCTTGGGAAGAACGGAGCAGTATTTGTGTTAGATTCCTGCTCAACTAGGGTTACAACTTTTGGAGACATGCTCTTAACCAACCTCAGGAGTCGGTCACGATGATTCTTGGTGCTGACGCTCTCATCAGGCATGTGGTGAAGCGTGAAAGCAAAATTGACAGCTAGAGCCTCTCCAGGTCGAACTTGAAGATGTTCCTGCTGAACCTCACAACCAGACATAGCAGCAGCATTAAATTCAAATGGCACTTTAAAATGAGCTGCAAGCTTAGACAGTCTCTTTCCCACAATGTTTAAGCCTCCTCCACGGGCATAAGCAGAAGTGGAATCATCAATGCCAGTAATACGAATGTGAGGTGGCCCACCAGGCCTGGCTGCAAATGCTTGAATAAGAGTAATCCACTGACTCCCTTGAGCTATTTGGAAATCAATAATATGAACTCTATCTTCATCCTTCATGGCTTCCGCAATGGCTCCGTTAGCGGACATGTAACCAAACTTGAAGTAGGGGCAAACCTCATAAAGAATGTGCATGTAAGACAATAGTTCGACACTTTCCGGTTCTTTGCATCTCAAAGCCTTGTAGATTGAACTCCCCGAGGAGGACAGTCGTGCCACAAGCCCTTCCAACATGTATGCTCCCAACCTCTGGATGGGCTCACCAGAAACCGACACCATCTGCCGTAATTCGTCCATTAGCCACTGTGCTGTCAACAGATCATTATCTGATACAGCTTTTGCACAGTAGACAAGGACCTGTTTTAAATCCCGTCTGGAGACTGCATCCGTTACAAGTCTCCAGCTGTCCATCTCCAGTGAGGTTGTGCTATCGATAATATCAGAATCGGTTCCCATCATCACAGTTTCCAGTTCTCTCAGCTTATCCCTCAAATCACTTACATCATCAGTTACACAGGAACCGCTAATAGGAGAGCTATAGGTATTTTCCAGAGACTGATGCAGGGCAGATGGATAGAACTGAGGTTCTTGCTTTGACATCGTGCTTCCATTTGATGAAAAACTGCCAGTTGATGAAGAGTTGTATACCGTATCACTGCCAGGTGCAGAAGATGACTCCAAAGTGCAATAAAGCTCATGTGAATTCTTAACCGAAACATGGGATCTGTGGCTGCTGTCACGATAGCAAACAGAGCGATCAATAGCTGGGAATTGAGGTAAGCAGCAGGGATCAACTTCTTGCTTTACTTGATGATACAATCCACCGGCCATGATTAAGCTTCTATGTTGCTGGGATGCCTGCATCGACAGATATTTTACTTGAACTTCTCTGACCCTTTCTACGGGCTGGGGCAACCAAAGAAATCAAGCTTGTCAGGATTGCCGTGAAACGAAATCCAAAGTACGTAACAGTCGAAATTAAGCAGTTTGTTGGTGTATCTTGATTCTCTTTGATAGGCTAAATTCCGCATACAAACTAAGGGGAAAAAACCAACATCGCCATGATCCTTTGTCCCCCGATTATCCAGATTGTTTCCATCTCCTGTCGCGTCATGATCTGCAAAAAAGGTGCAACAAGCTCAGCAAGATCCAGTAGCAGCATCTAGGATACAACAGAAATTCCAGGTTCATCATGCATACCAAATAATGTTCACTGTCAATTTCACCGAAACCTAAGCAAGCATTGAGAATCATAAGTATATAAATATTAGAATGTATCACTGCATACGGATAACAAATGAACTACTTTTAGAATGTATCATTGCATACAGATAACAAAATGAACATATTTTTCTAATTTCTCCTTCCCCATGTAAACTTAAAGCATAAAAATAAGAAGTGTTGATAATAAAAATAGCAGAACAGATTTACTCGAATCCAGGACAATAGTTTCAATGCGTATGTTATTAAGACTTTTGATCATCAAAACAACTCAAACATATCCAAGTAATATTAATGCATTTCTATGCACCCCTTCACAATCACCTCTAAATCATCTGCCTTTTCCTTCATGTTTCTCAGTATTTAGAGTATCATATTCTAATACTAATGACCAAATATGGGTTTGCAGACAGAAAAAATTTAGGGAAAATGAAGAATCGGAGTAACACAAAAGGGAGGGGGCCACATCTTTGATGCTGTAGAAGGAGAAAAAAATGAAGTAAACTAAGTGAGGTTTACCAAAAATTCAACCATGACCTACTAAATATGTTCTTGAAGATGAAACAACTCACTCAGTTCTTCATACACAGAAAAAAAAAATAGTTTTTTGTTTCTGACAAGTAAGAACAACCCAGGTAGAAATGGAATCAGTTTGTTTTTACTTACCTTTTTTTTGGGTCGGGGGGGGGGGGAGGAATCTTTCAGCTTTCGGAGCTTTGAGTTCTGAGAGTGAGAAGAAGAAAGGAAAGAGTTTAAGTAATATTCTTTTGGGAAAACTGCAGAGCCACCCACATGTGCATTATTATATTAATTAAGAACCGACGAATTATGAAAACACCATTGATTTTGGCAAAACTACAGGATTACCATAAGTATGTCTGGAAAAAGAAAGAAAATAGTTTTCTCTTCGAACTGCTGTTCTGAAATTATTAGGATGCCCTTGTCAAATGCACATGTGGTCTATCACTTTACACGGTGCTTATGGAGAAAAAATATCTTCCATAAATCTAAAATGATATATTCTTACGGAAGATCGAATACCGATAATTATATAAAAAAATTAAGACGACTTCCACCAAAAGCGTCTACGGAACCCGATGATTTTCCTATATAATGTTCAAACATCTTTAATTCTTTAAAAATTTAACCCTCGATCCTACACCCTATTTTTTTCTCAACATCTTTTTTTATTTTACTTATTTTACCAATTCTTTATGAAAAATTTTTATTGGGATCATCCGGTTTAACTCCGAGTAAGTTTCTTATCACTTAATTAAAAAAGTATATTTTGTTGATTTATTTTATTATTTATAGTTAATTTTAGATAATATAAAGTTAATATAATAATAAATTTAATTTTCAACTCTTATATATTACATCAATTAAGTTTTTCATAATTATATTAATTAAGTTTAAATTAAAAAAAACAACATTTAACTTTTATACATTATATTGATTTGATTATATTTTTATCGATTTAGTATAATAATTATACAATAAAATAGACATTAAAATTTTAAGTGAAAAAACTTTTTGAAAAAAAAAACTACGGACAGAAGAGGAGGATTTTTACTAATACAAGATTTAGAAGAAGAAAAAAATTTAACTTCTAACTCTAGCCCTGTACCTATTTATAGAGATAAATACACTTTTACAAAAAGAAACTTATAATGTAGAAATATACGCAAAGTAGATTTTTACATAAAAGAAAGAAAAGTTTCACACTTCTAATCAAACTAAGTGTTTTACTTTCTAAAATTATATATTAATTAATTTGTGTCACGTTGAATTAGAGTGAAACTTTAACAATCTCTAGCTTGACACAAATTCTGAAAATGTAAGGAGTTTGAGATCAATTGATGAAACAATCAAAATCAACAAAAGAATTCTTCATCTCGACGGAATTTAACCCTATAACATGTCCCTATAATACACTTATCATTATGCACATTTAGCATTATAGATTTGTAACACCCTATAACAGTACTACACACAATCGACCGATGTAGGATGCCACACGGAACCATCGAACTGGCTAACCGACTTCAAACTTACTTTCTTATACTTTAAAATAACTCTTTACATATGAGAGCCCTAAAAATATATAGATATCTACATATGGAATCTTAATTGAATTTACAACTCAATACAACTGAATTCATGAATATACATGTCATTTAAGAAACTTGTGATGTACTCTGCTCTACACTGGGTCTAAATTTCAGTCTCTTTAAAGCTTCTTAACTGTAGGATATACTAACCTGCCCACGGAAACATTTAGCTCAGCGCCATGCTAACAACTAAAACATACTAAAAGCATCACTAAAAAGCTCAAGCTATCAAGTATACTGGTATATAGTTTATTGTTATCTGTTCTAATATATGTTTTATTCTACTAGCCCACTCATTGAGTGTTGGACCTTGCGCCCAATCTAGTCTGCTTTAAAATTGGTTTAGAATACTCATTATCTAAGCTATGGTAGACATCATGGTGCGATTGAGGGTTCTGCATCTCAGAGCTCACGCACCCCTCTAGTCTACCCTGGACATGTCCCCCGAAATTCTCTACATCGAAAACCATACCCCTGACTAACCCACCCTTTATTATAAAGAGTGTTAAGGCCTCATCAAACATAGTTAGTCAGAAGGGCCTTGACCCTACCTAGAGATATCCGGACTGAATCTATACTATCAACTTTGCTAGCTTTTCTAAAGGAACTTGGGTACCATAGTCATTTTCCTGAGCATTCAAACAATACTAGTTTTATTTCTCCTAACTTTAACTTGATTCTACGTTTGAAAATAATATTAATGTTCTCACTTGTAGTCTTATATGAAGAATTACTAAAGTGTTGGGGTACCTCGAGTCTAAAACGCTCAAAATCTACCTTTACTGCTCAAAACAGACTGAAAGTATCTACACTATCCCTGGAGTATCGATACTCATGCTAAAGTATCGGTACTTAATCGTAAATGTAATACCCTAGACCAGTATGACACACAGTCGACCGATGTAGGATGCCACATGAAACCACCGAAGTGGCTAACTAACTTCAAACTTACTTTCTTGTACTTTAAAATGACTCTTTACATATGAGAGCCCTCAAAATATATAGATACCTACATACTGACTCTTAACTGACTTTACAACTCAATACAACCGAATTCATGAATATACATGCCATTAAAGAAACTTGTGACGTACTCTGCTCTGCACTGGGTCTGGACCTCGGTCTCTCTAGAGCTTCTCAACTGTTGGATCTACTAACCTGCCCATGGAAACAGTTAGCTCAGCGTCATGCTAACAACTAAAACATACTAAAAGCATCACTAAAAAGCTTAAGCTATCAAGTCTACTTGAATAAGGTCTACTGCTATCTGTTCTAATATATGTTCTATTATACTAGCCCACTCCTTAAGTGTTGGACCTTGCGCCCAAGCTAGTCTGCTTTAAAACTGCTTTAGTGAGTATTCTCGAATACTCACTCTTTAAGCTATGATAGAAATCATGGTGCAGCTGAGGGTTCTGCATCTTGGAGATCACACACCCCTCTTGTCTATCATTGACATGGCCCCCGAAATTCTCTACATTAAAAACCATACCCCTAACTAACCCATATTTTCTTCTAAAGAGTGTTATGGCCTAGGAAAACATAGTTAGTCAGAAGGGCCTCAACCTTACCTAGGGATATCCGGACTGAATCTATATTGTCGACTCTGCTAGCTTTTCTAAAGGAACTCGAGTATCTTGGTCGTTTTCCCGAGCATTCAAACAAGGCTAGTTTTATTTCTCTTAACTTTAACTTGTTTCTACGTTTGAAAATAACATTAACGTTCTCACTTGTATTCTTATTTGTAGAATTACTAAAGTGTTGGGGTACCTCGAGTCTAAAGCGCTCAAAAAATGCCTTTACTACTCAAAATAGAATGAAAGTATCGATACTATCCCTGGAGTATCAATATTGTTGCTAAAGTTTTGATACTTTATATTAATACTGATACTTTTTAGCACTTTGTTATGGCAAGTTTCTATACTTGCCTCGGAGTTTCGAAACTATTCCTAAAGTATCGATACTCTTAAGAGTATCGATACACCTTCCCAAAAAACACGTATTTTGCTTTAAATGATGAACAAATATCAATACTATCCTTATAGTAACGATACTCCACCTAAAGAAAACACATTTTCACTCGAAAATCTCCTATTCATCTAACCTAAAAACCTTAGTGAGGTCCCCAAACATTCTTAAAGTCTTATGTGATTAAAGGAGAGCATAAATAAGGCTTTACAAGGTACTTAAACATCAAAACATGGAAGCTACCATGATCATGCAACACTAAGCTTTATAATTAACTCTTAAGCTAGAAAACATCTCTAATGATCACTAGGAGTATGAAAAGGTTGATAGTGTGTTATCTGACCTCCTTGGTTGCTAAAATCTCCCTCAACTCAACTAGGAGTCACCTTACCTTTATCATTTACTTTGAAACTCTTTTTCACCTCTTTAACTTGGTTTCTTCAAACTAAACTTGGAACTCTAAAAACTTGCTCCTCTTTGGCTTATTATGGAGAAGAAAGAAGAAAGGATAAGATAAGAGGAGGAATAAGAAGAAGATATTTTTTGGGGAAGGTTCTCGTGAAATCCATCTAAAAAAGTGGTTTATAACCTTTAAGACCAACTATGAGTAAACTACTCTTTTGGTCCCTCTCTTTTTTACCTCTACTTATGACCATCATTCACCCTTAACTCTTGGGCCTTAATTAAGCCCAATACCTATACAACTTGGTCCAACTATCTTGGGAAGTTTAATTGGCTTGACTTAAAGGTCTTGGGTTGACCCAAACTACTGACCCGAGTTTCGGGGCATCACAAGATTAGTTAAAACATGCATATTAGAAATTACATTTAGTTGATTAGAATATAACCTTTTTAGCATAATCTACACATCTAACGTTTAACTTATTATCATATAATACACTTATCATTAGGCACATTCAACATTCTAGATCATAATATTATAGTTCACCTATTACATAACACTTTTTTGCTTATTAGCACATATTATTTATCACTTCTCATTCATACCCCAATTTTCAATTATACAATCACGCTTGAAAAATTATAAAAACATCTAAACGCATACCCTATTGAATTGCATAATAAATGGAAGCTCAATTTGTATTTTAGCAATTTTTAGAACTTTTATTGTCATGCAAAGATTATCATTTGCATTCTATTCAAATCGGTCCTTAGTAAAGCCCAATCACTCCTTTCTCTTTTTCGAGTATTTTAATTTAGTCAATCCTTTATGCCACAAATGACTTTCGATTAGAAATTCAAATCTCGAAAAGGAAATTGACTTAACAAGATATGAATCCCAATCTTTTACAATTAATAAAATATCTATTTACAAAAATTCCTGGCCGTTGCTAATCTAAATAAAGTCGATAATTTAAAGAATCATTCAGAGTAAATAATTCAGAAAAAACTATTATGTTGTCTAAAATCTCAAGAAAGATTATTTATTTTGGCTACCGGAATAGGTTGACTCCAAAATAGAGACATATGCATATTAGTCTAGATTGATAACACGTTGAAGTCTGAAATTTTGAATGAGAAGAAGGGGGTATTTGCAAGGAATGAAAGGAAGAGGGAGTCATTAGCAAATTTCAATTTTAATATAGTGCATTCCAGTTCACCAACAAACTCAACAACACTTGCCTTATTATAATATTCTACTTTTATATTTGTACAAAATTTATATAATTTTTAATAAAATTTAGTTGAAACCCCTTAGTTATAAATTATTATTTTTATGGGAATCAAAATGTGCCAAAAGGAT